CTAGTCTATTAAACCGGGGTGTATGTAAAATAAAGTTATTTTGTGTTCCGCTGTATTACAAGTATTGATTTAAAACCCCGTCTGTTGAAGTAGCACTCTTTATGAAAATTATATCTTTCAAGTGTGGGTTATGTTTTGAAGAAAGAAAAATGCTTTGACCATTTCCAAACTTATTTTCCAACGGATCAAATAGGATCCGAAGGTTTCAATAAAGTCCATTTTTCTAAAAAATGTTCTTAATTATATAAACGACATGGTGGGTGTTACATTAGGTGTCCAGGAAGCAAAAATGATCAAAGAGAAAGAAAAGAGTTGCAATTAGGAAAATAAAATCAAATTAGAAGAGAGAATCCCTCAAAATCTTTGGTAGTGTACGTCCACGAAGTCGAGCATAACTTTCTCATCCGGACTCCAAATCAAATGGTTATGGCGGCATTAGAAAACTATTTCAGCTGGCTACAATTCCTGTCTAACGTGAAAAATCCAAATTCGGACTCGAACATGGTCAAAATTGGATTCCAAAAGCGATCATGAACATACGTACTACAGTTCGAGGACATGAATGCGCATCAAGAAACGTGTACAAAAACTCTCGCTAGAAAGATACGGACAAAAATAAGTTTACAAGAGCATGCACAAAAGTACTCACGCAAAAGTGCATTCGCAAAAAGGGTCATGAAAACACAAACTACAATCCTAGGACATTAATACAAATCAACAAACATGCACAAGCACACTCGCTCAAATGGACATGCACAAACGTACATGTAAAAAAACATGCGCAAAAGTGCATTCGCAACAACGTTCTTAAAAACACGAACTACAATACTAGGACTTTAATACGCATCAACAAACAACAGCAAAAACACTAGATAAAAATGATACAGTGGAGTGCAGAAATAAAACTCTACGCTTACGTTTACGTGGATTTTTTTTTTTGGATTAATTTATTTTCTTTTTGAATTGGTGGATTTGGTATCTTATAGGTACAAATCGAAAATTAGGTGTCCAGGAAGCAAAAATGATCAAAGAGAAAGAAAAGAGTTGCAATTAGGAAAATAAAATCAAATTAGAAGAGAGAATCCCTCAACATCTTTGGTAGTGTACGTCCACGAAGTCGAGCATAAGTTTCTCATCCGGACTCCAAATCAACTGGTTCCAGCGGCATTAGAAAGCTATTTCAGCTGGCTACAATTCCTGTCAAACGTGAAAAATCCAAATTCAGACTCGAACATGGTCAAAATTGGATTCGAAAAGCGATTAAGAAAATACACACTACAGTTCGAGGACATGAATGCGCATCAAGAAACGTGAACAAAAACTCTCGCTAGAGAGATACGCACATAAGTAAGTGTACAAAAGCATGCACAAAAGGACACACGCAAAAGTGAATTCGAAAAAGGATTGTGAAAACACAAACTACAATCCTAGGACATTAATACAAATCAACAAACATGCACAAGCACACTCGCTCAAATGGACATGCAAAAACGTACATGTAAAAAAACATGTGCAAAAGTGCATTCGCAACAACGTTCTTGAAAACACGAACTTCAATACTAGGACTTTAATACGCATCAACAAACAACAGCAAAAACACTAGATAAAAATGATACAATGGAGTGTAAAAATAAAACTCTACGTTTACGTTTACGTGGATTTTTTTTTTTTGGATTAATTTCTTTTCTGTTTGAATTGGTGGATTTGGTATCTTATAGGTACAAATCGAAAATAAGGTGTCTAGGAAGCAAAAATGATCAAAGAGAAAGAAAAGAGTTGCAATTAGGAAAATAAAATTAAATTAGAAGAGAGAATCCCTCAACATCTTTGGTAGTGTACACCCACGAAGTCGAGCATAACATTCTCATCCGGACTCCAAATCAACTGGTTCCGGCGGCATTCGAAAGCTATTTCAGCTTGCTACAATTCCTGTCTAACGTGAAAAATTCAAATTCGGACTCGAACATGGTCAAAATTGGATTCCAAAAGCGATCATGAAAATACGTACTACAGTTCGAGGACATGAATGCGCATCAAGAAACGTGCACAAAAACTCTCGCTAGAAAGATACGCACATAAGTAAGTGTACAAAAGCATGCACAAAAGTACACACGCAAAAGTGCATTCGCAAAAAGGATCATGAAAACACAAACTACAATTCTAGGACATTAATACAAATCAACAAACATGCACAAGCACACTCGCTCAAATGGACAAGCACGAATATACATGTAAAAAAACATGCGCAAAAGTGCATTCGCAACAACGTTCTTTAAAACACGAGCTACAATACTAGGACTTTAATACGCATCAACAAACAACAGCAAAAACACTAGATAAAAATGATACAGTGGAGTGTAGAAATAAAACTCTATGTTTACGTTTACGTGGATTTTTTTTTTTTTTGATTAATTTATTTTTTGTTTGAATTGGTGGATTTGGTATCTTATAGGTACAAATCGAAAGTTAGGTGTCCAAGAAGCAAAAATGATCAAAGATAAAGATAAGAGTTGCAATTAGGAAAATAAAATCAAATTAGAAGAGAGAATCCCACAAAATCTTTGGTAGTGTACGTCCACGAAGTCGAGCATAACTTTCTCATCCAGACTCCAAATCAACTGGTTTTGGCGGCATTAGAAAGCTATTTCAGCAGGCTACAATTACTGTCTAACGTGAAAAATCCAAATTCGAACTCGAACATGGTCAAAATTGGATTCCAAAAGCGATCATGAAAATACGTACTATAGTTCGAGGACATGAATGCGCATCGAGAAACGTGCAAAAAAACTGTTGCTAGAAAGATACGCACATAACTAAGTATACAAAGGCATGCACAAAAGTACTCACGCAAAAGTGCATTCGCAAAAAGGATCATGAAAACACAAACTACAATCCTAGGACATTAATACAAATCAACAAACATGCACAAGCACACTCGCTCAAATGGACATGCACAAACGTACATGTAAAAAAACATGCGCAAAAGTGCATTCGCAACAACGTTCTTATAAACACGAACTACAATACTAGGAATTTAATACGCATCAACAAACAACAGCAAAAACACTAGATCAAATATATACTGTGGAGTGTAGAAATAACACTCTACGTTTATGTTTAAGTGGATTTTATTTTTGGATAAATTTATTTTCTGTTTGAATTGGTGGATTTGGTATCTTATAGGTACAAATCGAAAATTAGGTGTCCAGGAAGCAAAAATGATCAAAGAGAAATAAAAGATTTACAATTAGGAAAATAAAATCAAATTAGAAAAGAAAATCCCTCAAAATGTTTGGTAGTGTACGTCCACGAAGTCGAGCATAACTTTCTCATCCGGACTCCTAATCAACTGGTTCCTGCGGCATTAGAAAGCTATTTCAGATGGCTACAATTCCTATCTAACGTGAAAAATCCAAATTCGGACTCGAACATGGTCAAAATTGGATTCCAAAAGCGATCATGAAATTACGTACTACAGTTCGACGACATGAATGCGCATCGAGAAACGTGCACAAAAACTGTCGCTAGAAAGATACGCACATAAGTAAGTATACAAAGGCATGCACAAAAGTACTCACGCAAAAGTGCATTCGCAAAAAGGATCATGAAAACACAAACTACAATCCTAGGACATTAATACAAATCAACAAACATGCACAAGCACACTCGCTCAAATGGACAAGCACGAACGTACATGTAAAAAAACATGCACAAAAGTGCATTCCAAACTACGTTCTTAAAAACACGAACTACAATACTAGGACTTTTATACGCATCAATAAACAACAGCAAAAACACTAGATAAAAAATATATAGTGGAGTGTAGAAATAAAACTCTACGTTTACGTTTAAGTGGATTTTTTATTTGGATTAATCTATTTTCTGTTTGAATTGGTGGATTTCGTATCTTATAGATACAAATCGAAAATTAGGTGCTAGGAAGCAAAAATGATCAAAGAGAAAGAAAAGATTTGCAATTAGGAAAATAAAATAAAATTAGAAAAGAGAATCCCTCAAAATATTTGGTAGTGTACGTCCACGAAGTCGAGCATAACTTTCTCATCCGGACTCCAAATCAACTGGTTCTCGCGGCATTAGAAAGCCATTTCAGCTGGCTACAATTTCTGTCTAACGTGAAAAATCCAAATTCGGACTCGAACATGGTCAAAATTGGATTCCAAAAGCGATCATGAAAATACGTACTACAGTTCTAGGACATGAATGCGCATCGAGAAACGTGCACAAAAAATGTCGCTAAAAAGATACGCACATAAGTAAGTATACAAAGGCATGCACAAAAGTACTCACGCCAAAGTGCATTCGCAAAAAGGATCATGAAAACACAAACTACAATCCTAGGACATTAATACAAAGGGGATCACTATTTCAAATACTGAATTTTGCTTAGTTGAATACCAAAAAAATAAAAAATAAATAATTAATTGTAAATTACTTTAATGCCCTTAATGAAAATTAAAACCAAAAAAAAATTACAAACACTATTTTTCTTTCTTAAATACCAAATACACAAAAACCCTAAAAAAAACATTTCCCTCCTCACTCACAAACCCCTCACCTCCTCCACCTCCTTCTTCTCCCTCCCCAAAAACCCTCCTAAAAAACCTCAAAGCAAAAGAAATCAAAACCTTACACAACTTGCAAAATGGCGTCAAATGACAATAGAATGGTAGTTTACGAGCAAGGAGAATCCATTATGGTATGTATTCATGTATTTTTTGAGCTAAAACATCGATTTTGATTGTTTTTTTTTTTTTAAACTCGTCATCCATTTTCGACACATACAGGTCGAAAATCTCCCTAATTTTCGACATGTATGTGTCGAAAATGGATGACAATTAATATTGTATTGAGTTTGTACACCTAATTTTCGAAAATGACTACATTTTTCGACACTTAAGTGTCGAATTTTGTTCATATTGCAAATTTACTTGTCTTATATTTTCGACACTTTTGTGTAGATCGATTGCACCCACTCATTTACCACGTCAGAAAAATTCCCAACAAAAGAAGCTTTATTGGCATGGGTTCGTGAAGTATGTAAAAGAATTGGAATGGTGATAATGATTGCGGGTTCGAGTGACGGGGATAGAGGACGTAGGACACCGTATGTGATTGTTCGTTGTGAGCGTGGGGGCCATTATGTTGGCAAGAAGGTACCAGGTGAAGATGATCAAAGACCGGGAAAAAGGAGCACCGGTTCAAAGAAATGCAATTGTCCGTTTAAATTGAAGGGGTTAAAAGAATCCAAGGATAATGAAAAGGCTGAGTGGAAATTGGATGTTTATAGTGGTATTCACAACCACAACTTATTCGAAAACTTGCACGGACACTCTTATGCTGGAAGATTATCAAAGGAGGATGTTTCCTTTGTTCACACTATGAAGAAAGCAATGGTGAAACCAAGGGCAATTCTAAGAGCATTGAAGCAAAAGGACCCGTCTAATGTAACTGGTATGAAGACAGTTTACAATACTATCTCTAAGTTAAATTTCAGTGAATTGGATGGGAGATCTCAATTGCAATCATTGTTCGTCAAGTTGAAAGAAGATGAATACCTCTCGTACCATAGATCGAACGAGTTGAATGCGATTACCGACTTGTTTTGGATCCACCCGAAATGCATTAAGTTGGCACAGTCGTATCCGTACGTATTCGTCATCGATTGCACGTACAAGACCAATCGTTACGGACTCCCATTTCTTGAGATTGTGGGTTTTACTTGTACCAACAAGACGTTCTCAATTGCCTTTGCATACTTGGATCACGAAAAGACGGAAAATTTTGAATGGGCGTTGCGTTGTTTGAAGGAGGCCATGACCAGTTGTCCTCGGCCTAATTGCATTGTAACAGATCGAGATTTGGGTTTAATGAAAGCAGTGGCCAATGTGTATCCATCGAGTCATCACTTGCTGTGTCGGTGGCATGTGAACAAGAATATAGTGGCCAATTGTAAGAAATTGTTCCCAAAGGACATCACCAAATGGAAACAATTTCAGTCGAGTTTTTCGGCTCTTATTGAAAGAAATACCATAGAGGAGTTCAATGAGGATTGGGAGGATTTGAAAAGAACATTTATCGGTTATCTCCCGGCTATAGAATATGTAGCTAATTCATGGTTGGATCCGTACAAGGAGAGACTTGTATCGGTGTGGACAAATAAGTGTACTCATTTTGGAACGTACACTTCTAATAGGGTGGAGGGGGCACACGAACGAATGAAAAGGGATGTGCATAATTCAACTGGCACATTTGTGGATTTGTATACGAAAGTCCACAATCAAATTGTCGAACAACACAATGACATCAAGGCTTCCTTTGAAGTAAGTAAAAATACTTATGAGCACACTTTCAAAACGTTGATATACAATGAGCTTCGTGGAAGTATCTCAAAATACGCTCTGCAACTACTGAAAGTTGAGGTGGACAATGCGAAACTATTGCAACCGAGAGATATGGGTTGTAGTTGCGCCATCCGAACAACTCACGGTCTACCATGTCGCCATGAACTTCATGAGTATGTTGTTGTGAACAAATGTTCTATCCCACTTGAGTTAATAGGCTCGTATTGGAAACACATGAGCATGGAGCCCGTCGCGACCACAGACCAAGTCATCCTACCAACCATCGACGAACAATTATCGGAATACCAGAAGCTCTTTGAATGTGCCGATCTCGATGCAAAAACTCGATTGCGCAACCATTTGAGACATTTTACCCACCCAGAGAAAACTAACCTTACGGAGCCAAGTGAAAAAGTTGTTAGCAAAGGTCGACCGGCAAAAAATAGGAAAGACAAATCAAGCACTCGGGACAAATCACATTTTGAGTATGTGGAGCCAAAGAAAAAAAAATCGAAGCAAGCTAGTTGTTCTCCAAAGGTAAATGTCGCTACTATCGTCTCATTTCATTGAAGTTGTATTTTATAATTGTGCTGAGTAATGAAGTGTAATATACTGCAGCTTATACCTGTACTGATGAGATTACGAGGGCACTCGAATGATTCTTTTAACACTATACCAACTCAAGAGTCAGGAAAAAGCACTATACCGACGCAAGAGTCGTTCAAACCATTATTTGAAGATGGAGATGTGGGATTGCCACCAGGTTTGATCAGCAAGAATAAGTACATTGACAAGATCCATCCACGATTTCGTATGCACGTTCGAGAAATTATCAATGTCGGTTCAGATGGACACTGTGGATTTCGGGTAGTTGCCTCTATGATGGGATTTGGAGAAGATGAATGGGGTCGAGTGCGAGATGACATGCTACGGGAGTTGGCTTCTAATTTTTCCACTTACACGACCATGCACCGTGGCGAAGGAACCGTTAGAAGCATGCAAGCTATTGTGAGTAACTGGGATGTTCCTGCAACTCGTGATCATTGGATGTCTTTTCCAAATATGGGTCATGTAATTGCTTCAACATACAATATTGTGCTTGTCTACTTATCCAAGTATCAGTGTCTCACGTTCCTTCCTCTATCGAGCGATCCAAAGCTTTTCAGCGAGAGACAAGAGCACGGAATGGCATTCGTCGACAACTGTCACTTCGTGCATGTTGTCTTGAACAAGAATTGTCCAATACCTCCTATCGCCGATTATTGGTACCGATGTCATGATCCTAAAGCTGATGGTTGGAAGCCTGCAGAAATGGATGGTCGGATTACAGCATTTCGAGAACTAATAGGTCAAAATGTTGCCACGCGAGAGAGTTTCGAGATTATTACTATATCAGACAATGGTGATAGTTCTCCGAACAAAACTATGTAAAGTTACTGGTGCTAGTTTCAATGTTATTAAGTGTTGTGTTTATGAAAAATTGCAATTTTTATGTGTTTTGTGAGATTAACCCCAAATATAATTGCAATCTAACATAAAAAATATTTCATATTAGCAAAAAAAAAAAAAAACTTTTGAAACAGTGTTAATTCGACAGCCAGCTGTCGAATTTCAATAGAAATTCGGCAGCTAGCTGTCGAATACTTACTGAAATTCGACAGCTAGCTGTCGAATTTACACTGTATCAATATTTTTTTTTTGAAAAAAATTGCAATTTTTATTTGTTTTGTGAAATTAACCCCAAATATATTGCAATGTAAAATAAAAAACATATTCTAAGTGTTTTTGGACAAAAAAAAATTAAAAATTGCAATTTTTTCAAAAAAAAAAAAATGATACAGATGAAATTCGACAGGTAGCTGTCGAATTTGATCTGTATCATTTTTTTTTTTTGAAAAAATTGCAATTTTTATTTTTTTGTGAAATTAACCCTAAATTTATTGCAATGTAAGATAAAAAACATATTCTAAGTGTTTTTGGACAAAAAAAAATATTCAAATTATCAAAAATATTTTCATTTAAAACAAGTAAATCAAATAAAAAATCCATCAATCAACATCCATCTAAAAAAATACAAGACTAATCCTGTGTTTTTCTCTTCCTACTAAACACGCGTTTCACAACCGCCTGTGGGGCATCGGACGAGCTCGATGGCGGTGGAATTGGCCCTATCGAGCTACCTGGAGGTGGTGGTGGGACATCCGACGAGCTCGAAGGAGGTGGAAGTGGGGCATCCGGCTCGATCAATCTGACAATATCATTTAGGGTCCCCCACATGACCGTATGAGCGTCGGATGGCGCAAGTCCCCGCACATCGCTAAGTGTACCCTTCACCAACTCCAAAATTTGTGAAAGTTGGACCTCCTTATCGGTACCACCCCCTGGACGAGCTTCATGTGGTCGAGGTCGATCCGCCTGGGGTCGAGGTGGATGGGCTCCATGCCTACTCTGTTGTAACATGCATCTGGGTCGGAACCAATTCATGTAGTCCGGCGAAGTGTCCGCCTCCCCGAGTTCAACTTCAACGGACCTCGACTCCTCGTCCAGACAATACTCCTCCCACCGATCAGAGAATCGTTCGCCGTACGCAACGAAAATTGAGTTCTGGACCGGTCGACCTTTGCTAACTAGAGCTTTGTACATATCTTTTGACATGTATGCACGACCTGGAATGATTTGCACCCGGTTGAACTGCCTCAACACTCTGTCCGGATGATATGCCTCGAAGTGAACCATGCAACATATCATCCCACTAAACCAAGCAGAGTCTGGCATCGGGAAACGATCACGAATAGCCGTATACGGTGACCATAAAACCTAGTAAAATAAATAAAAAATTAGATTTAAAAACCTACTTAAGTAGTAATAACAAATTATTAAACTGGTATTTTACCTGATCGGGGATCAAATCATCTAATCGAGATCGCAGGTACGACGCTCGTTCAGGCGTTGAAGTAGTCTTTGACTGAGGCTCCCATCGGCTCGCTAATGGCCCCTCGAATTCCGTCTTCAATGTGCCACCCGCCAAATAAGGAAAGTGCTCGTAAATCCATGACTGAAAGAGCGTCAGCCAGCCAGCCATCGAGTTCGTTGATTTTTGTGAGGCTGAGGAAAGCTCATCGTACAACCGGCAAAGACATGCAGTGCCCCAAGCATACTCGCCGACCCGATCCAAATCAGATACAAGATTTAGATACTCCACGCTTACCATGTTGCCTGTCTTGTCGCACAGTATAGTACACCCGAGCAAAAATAGCAAATACGCCCGAATGGCGTATGTCCTCTTCTCCGCACTATCTCTCATGGTCACTTTGCTAAATTTAGCCTTCAACCATTCCAGCTTCACCGCTTTCTTCTTGTTTACATCGTCCGGGTACTCACCTAGCAACTCGAACATCAAACTACTGGGCGTCGTTTTGGAATCACGGATCAAACGCTCGCAAGATACGGTACGCCCAACAACTGGCAAACCGACCAACGTACTCACATCGTCAAGTGTGATGGTCATCTCTCCAACAGGTAAGTGAAATGTGTTGGTAGCTGGCTGCCATCTCTCTATGAAGGCTCTAAGTAGATGGCCGTCCACAGTGTTGTACGATGCTTGTAAAACTGACATTAATCCACATCTTGGTACTACCTCTGTAATAAACGGCGCCGGCTCCCAACCTTTCAAAGTTCCTGTGTGATTTCGAATTCGAAATTCTGAGCCGCGCTCCGAGCGATTTGGCCCTCCGTTCACAATATGATAAGCAATGTGCTTATCAAATTTTGTGTACAATTCCGGTATCTCGGGACCTCGGACCGGTTCGTTGCTCGAATCACCAACTTCTACAGTCGAAGGTAGAGCCGGCACCAGATTCGTTGACGAAGAACCCTCTCCAGACTTCTTCTTGGTCGTGGTCTTTTTCTTGGTCGTGACTGCTATGCCCTTGCCTCTATCGGATAATTCCTTCCTCTTCTTACGGTTCGAGACAGTCGGAGGTATACGAGGTTCACGTGGTTCTTCCACTGCAAAATAACACACAAATAAAAATTAATATACATAATATAAACACAAGCAAATAAAAATAGAAAAGAAAACAAATTAAAAAAAAAAAAAAAAAAAAAAATTCACAGTTCAAATTCGACAGGTAGCTGTCGAAAATTCATGGTAATTCGACAGCTAGCTGTCGAAAATTGGTTGAATTTTCGACAGCTACCTATCGAAAACTCATCCAAATTTCGACAGCTACTTGTCGATTTACCAAAATCCCAATTTCAAGATTTCACCTTTTCGACACCTATATGTCGATTTCTGATGAATTTTCGACATCAACCTGTCGAAAATTCATCAAAAATCGACATATACAGGTCGAAAATGGTGAACGAAGAACCGACCCACGAATCTCAAATCAATGCTCAAATCGACTGAAATCAGATGCACCCATTACTAATTAACGATCATTCTAACCTAAAACAACCAAATCCTAATTACCCATATCAAACAATCAAATCTTAAATAAATATTAAAGAAAAAAAATCGAAACAAATATTACTTACTATTCGAAGACGACGACGGCGGCGGCTTTGGGCGACGTTGGGCGGCGTTCGGCGGTGTTTGGCGTCGGCGTCCGGCGGCGGCAATGGTTGGAGCGGCGGCGGCGTCGGGCGGCGTGGGAGGGGTGGACGGAGGTTTGCTCGGGTTTGTTTGGCCGTTGTTTTTTGTGTTTGAAGTTTTTTTTTTCTTTTTTTTTATTTGGTTTTCAAATAGGTAATTTCAAAGAATAATTGATATAATTAATATTTTGTATGAAAGGGTATTTTTGTACTTTTCTTTTTATTTTGGTATTAAAGTAAGAAAAAAACTTATAAATATGTACTCAATTGTGGTTTTCAACTTGGAAGTATTCAAGTAAGCAAAAGTTGGGATTTAAAATAGTTGCCCCCTAATACAAATCAACAAACATGCACAAGCACACTCGCTCAAATGGACATGCACAAACGTACATGTAAAAAAAACATGCGCAAAAGTGCATTCGCAACAACGTTCTTATAAACACGAACTACAATACTAGGAATTTAATACGCATCAACAAACAACAGCAAAAACACTAGATCAAATAGATACAGTGGAGTGTAGAAATAAAACTCTACGTTTATGTTTAAGTGGATTTTATTTTTGGATAAATTTATTTTCTGTTTGAATTGGTGGATTTGATATCTTATAGGTACAAATCGAAAATTAGGTGTCCAGGAAGCAAAAATGATCAAAGAGAAAGAAAAGATTTGCAATTAGGAAAATAAAATCAAATTAGAAAAGAAAATCCCTCAAAATGTTTGGTAGTGTACGTCCACGAAGTCGAGCATAACTTTCTCATCCGGACTCCTAATCAACTGGTTCCTGCGGCATAAGAAAGCTATTTCAGCTGGCTACAATTCCTGTCTAACGTGAAAAATCCAAATTCGGACTCGAACATGGTCAAAATTGGATTCCAAAAGCGATCATGAAAATACGTACTACAGTTCGAGGACATGAATGCGCATCGAGAAACGTGCACAAAAAATGTCGCTAAAAAGATACGCACATAAGTAAGTATACAAAGGCATACACAAAAGTACTCACGCAAAAGTGCATTCGAAAAAAGGATCATGAAAACACAAACTACAATCCTAGGACATTAATACAAATCCACAAACATGCACAAGCACACTCGCTCAAATGGACATGCACAAACGTACATGAAAAAAAACATGCGCAAAAGTGCATTCGCAACAACGTTTTTCAAAACACGAACTACCAGACTAGGATTTTAATACGCATCAACAAACAACAGCAAAAACACTAGATCAAATAGATACAGTGGAGTGTAGAAATAAAACTCTACGTTTACGTTTACGTGGATTTTTTTTTTTTGGATTAATTTATTTTCTGTTTGAATTGGTGGATTTGGTATCTTATAGGTACAAATCGAAAATTATGTGTCCAGGAAGCAAAAATGATCGAAGAGAAAGAAAAGAGTTGCAATTAGGAAAATAAAATCAAATTAGAAGAGAGAATCCCTCAAAATCTTTGGTAGTGTACGTCCACGAAGTCGAGCATAACTTTCTCATCCGGTCTCCGAATCAACTGGTTCCGGCGGCATTAGAAAGCTATTTCAGCTGGCAACAATTCCTGTCTAACGTGAAAAATCCAAATTCGGACTCGAATATGGTCAAAATTGGATTCCAAAAGCGATCATGAAAATACGTACTACAGTTCGAGGACATGAATGCGCATCGAGAAACGTGCACAAAAAATGTCGCTAGAAAGATACGCACATAAGTAAGTATACAAAGGCATGCACAAAAGTACTCACGCAAAAGTGCATTCGCAAAAAGGATCATGAAAACACAAACTACAATCCTAGGACATTAATACAAATCAACAAACATGCACAAGCACACTCGCTCAAATGGACATGCACAAACGTACATGTAAAAAAACATGCGCAAAAGTGCATTCGCAATAACGTTCTTATAAACACGAACTACAATACTAGGACTTTAATACGCATCAACAAACAACAGCAAAAACACTAGATCAAATAGATACAGTGGAGTGTAGAAATAAAACTCTACGTTTACGTTTATGTAACGTCCCACAACCTAACAGCAGAATCCAATCGGATCACCACCATAAAGTTAGGGATGCTTACCTTTTTATATACACTTAAACATTATGGTTTTAATACAAACATAAGTTATTCTCTTTGAAAAGAAATCAAACTTTGTACTTTCTCAAAATCAAACTTTATATATATATATATAAATATTTAATGTTTACAAAATTACATTGTACAAAAACCATAATAGAGCAGCTAACAAAATTAAATCAGAGGTTTCTAGCTCGGCTACAAAAATGGCTCGAAGCATGGCATATGAACAAATCTCTGACTGGCCGCTCTTGGCTAGGTCAACTTCTAAACATGTACATCATTACCTGCATCATAAGAACCTAATGAGCTAATGACTCAGCAAGTTGAAACAGGTGTAATAGCAATATATCACATAACATGTTATTCATTCAATATGTACAATATCAAATATAACTTCATTCGTGATCTTTTTCTTTGAAATCCTTCTCTTTATCGGGTACCCTTGAAGTGTGGTACTTGACTGATAGCAATAGGCTTTCGTTTTCGGAACCTGTTCATCACATTTGGCCAATAGATAATACGGGGTTTCCATACCGGCCTTTCGACCTCAGGTATTAGCCGTATTTCATTTCTTTAATTGTGGGTTTTCCATACTGGTCTTTCGACCTCAGGTATTTGCCACCATGTGTTGGGTCCGCCGGTCCCTCCCGCGTCCCTTGCCTACCCGACCATCAATCAAGTACCATACTCCCATTTTCAAAACATCTTCTTTCATATCGCTATGACTCATCAATCATTCAAACATCATGAAGAACACGTAGCAAAAGTCACATTAAAGAACACATAATTAGGTTCTTATGATGAGCAAATGAAAGCTTCAACTTACCTCAAAATCAATATGGTTTGTGAAGTAAAAGGATCAGTCTTAGATAAGGTGTGCTAAAAGCCTTGATTACAGATGAATTCAAACTTCAAAACATAGGATTTTCAGCTAGAAAAGGTGAAGAACTTGTTCTAGCTATACTTTTATGAGTTCTTAGGGTTTGATATTCTCTTATGTGAATATGGAAGTGAAGAAATAAGAAGAGAAGCTTAAGTGAATAGGTCTGG